TGAAGTCTCATTTGGCCTATAAGAAAAAAAAATGTATGTGCATATAAAAACAAAAAACCTTAGACATTAATCATCAATCAATCGAGATAATTAGTTATTTTTACAGCACTTCTGCTACATTTAGATGTCTCCCAGGAAGTCAATCCATGAGATATAAATGGTGCATTCCTGCTGCAGCTGGAGAAGTGTCCTCAGGTGATACTTTGACTTTCTGAACTGTGGGTGACCTTTTAATATAAAGCAAACAACAGTGTTAAGAGATTAAGCTCCTCGATCTGTGCTTTTGTTTTTCCCCCCTCAGGGCGAGACATTTTAAAGGAGGCTACTCAGAGTGGGTCGAGCGAGAAGGAAGGTGACTCGGGTGAAATCTGCACTGAAGTTCTTCAAAGTACTGTTCCTTTTATTTAATGCACTGTGACTGGGATATATTTCTTCTTTTGTTCAAGAGTACTGTCAAAATAAGTTTTTAACAGTTTTGCTGTAACTTTACTAAAAATATTACAAGTGTCCTTTTTATCCTGCTTCAAGATATGACATGAATTGGCAGCTGATGAATGTGAAGGTTCTTTAAATAAAAGCTATAAAAAATTAAACATTTGTGTTAAAATCTTTTTTTTTTCTTTGTCATTATAAATATCTTATTAGTATAGAAAAAAACAACCCACCTGTCCATTTTATATTCAAGTTTTTGGTGGTTTTGTTTTTCTTTTTACCACCTTGATAATAAGTGGTGAGAAAAAATTTACTTCCATTGGCCCGAAACATTATTTTAATGAGCATGTGGCTGTTTCGCCCGCACTTTGAGCTTATAATAATGGATTGCATTTATATAGCGCTTTCTAGGCACCCAAAGCGCTTTACAATTCCACTATTATTATTATTATAGGTTTTTTGTTGTTGTCAGCAGCAGCTGAAGACTTCACTGGGTGTCACTCCTCTGAGCTAAGGACATTTGCGTAATAAAACATTGAGAAAACATTTCTTGGTCTGATTAACCCTCATTTCCTGTTGCAACATTTGGTAGAGTTGGTGTAATGAGATCCCTTCACATACGCCTTAACCCCCACGCAC